AAAGTGCAATAACTGGGAGAGAATGAATGATTGATGTGCTAGATGAAGAAATAAGAATTTTTCAAAAAATTCATCCAACTCATTCTTTCACTTTCCATCCACATATACAAGCGTGTCAAAGCTTCAAATAACCTTAGTAACCATCCCATTTCTGAAAAGGAATCCTTACTATAATGTGACAAGTGACCATCCAGCCTGTACCTGAAACTCTCCATGCCAGGGAGGGAATCCACTAAAATAAAGACTGACCATCAATAGTCTGAAGATTCCTGTGAAATTTTGCAGGGATAAATATCTGATTCCTTTTTTTTTCTGTAGAAATGTGGAGCCACATATCTAGCATTTTCTGGGACAGTATCAATTCAATTAATAATTGATAATAAGCATTAATAATATGAGTGTTTACAAAAGGAACATCCATCTTCACTGTTTTTCAAGTTTTTCATCTGTAAAATGAAGAGATTAGACTAGATGATTTAAAAGATCTTTCTCAGTTCTAAATCCTATGACCTAATGATCCTTTGTTAGATTACATGCTTAATTTTGGGATTCTGATAATTACAGTCTGTGTGTGTGTGTGTGTATGTGTATATGTATATACATACATACAGATATAAATATACATACATACATACATACATATACACATCCTTTCATAAAAAAGGAATGTGCTTTTTTAAAATGAGAACATGTGAATTCTCATTCTTCTTGTTGTCTCTAAAGTATTTGACACTGGTGATCACCTTCCCTGATACCCTCTCTTCTCTAGCTTTTCCTGACACTGCTCTCTCTTGGTTCTCCTCCCACCTATCTGTCCATTCCTTCTCAATCTCCTTTGCTAGATCTTCATGCAGGACGCTTCTGCTAGCCATGGGTGTCTCATAAGTCTCTGTGCTGGGATTTCTTCCCTTTCCCCTCTATACCATTTCACTTGCTGATCTCATCGACACCCTTGGATTTAATTATCAGCTCTGTGATGATTCTCAAATCTATTTATCCAACCCTAACATCTCTACTGACCTCCAGTCTCACATCTACAGCTGCCTTCCAGACATCTTCAACTCAACGTGTCCAAAATTGAACCTTTTCTATTTCCCCTCCCACCCTCACCTCTTCCTAATTTCCTTATTACTACTGAGGGTACCACCATCCTCCCAGGCTATTTTCCTATGTGTTATCCTCAACTTTGTACTCTCACTTTCCCACCCCCCCCATCCAATCTATTTGATGTTACCTTCATAACATCTCTCATATTCCCCCTTCTCTCCTTTGACATTGCCACTATCCTGGTGTCAGCCCTCTTCACCTGATGCCTAAATTATTAAAATAGCTTGCTGGTTGGACTCCCTGCTACAATTCTTGCCCCATTTCATTCCAAACTCCACTCAGCTGTCAAAGTGATCTGCCTAAAGCAGAGATCTGACCATTTCACTGCCCTACTAAATCCCCTCCAGTGGCTTCCTATTAACTCCAATATCAAATACAAAATCTTCCACTCGGCATTCAAAACTCTTTATAGACTGACCTTTCCAGTCTTCCCATACCTCACCTCACTTCACCTCCCCCTTATCCCACTACATAATGTCCAATCAAGTGACGCTGACCTTTATTCTGCTCCTCAAACTTCATCTGCTGACTTGAGACATTTTCACTGGCCGTCCCTCATTTTCAGAATTCTCTTTCTCCTTTTTTCCACCTTCTTGCTTTCCTGGCTTCCTTCAAGTCCCAGCTAAAATCTTATCTTCTATTGGAAGCCATTCTTAACTCTTCTTAATTCAGGTGCCCTCCCGCCGTTGATTATTTACAGTTTTTCCTGTACATGGCTGGTTTGTACATAGTTGTTTGCTTGTTTTCTCTCTCATTAGATGGTGAGCTCCTGGAGAACAGGGGCTGCCTTTTGCCTTTGTATCCTCAGTGCTCACCACAATGCCTGGCACATAGTAGGCACTTAATGCATATTTATTGATTGAGAAATGCAGAGTTACTTACCAGGAAAATATATTCCTATAGATGGAACATTTTTGTATCCACAAATCTGACTCAGGTTTAAAAAAATGTCCCTTTGGGAATAATGACTTTTGATATGGGATGGGTAGCCCAGTCTTGCTTGCAGAATTTGAGATATGAGTAAAAAAATAGCATGAGGTCAAGTGTTAATTACTAGATCCAAAATGAAAAAGAGAGCTATGATATTCTTACTTTTCATTTTTTTAAATGTTCTTAGAGGAGCCCTCAATCGCTAGTTGCATCTGAATTCACCACCGAGTTGACTATTTTTTTTTAATAAACATCTGTTCTACTTGCTTTTAATAATCAGGACTAGTCTTGACAATTCCTTTATCATGTACGATAAGCCTAATGTCTTTGAACTATTCCTATGCTGGTAATTTACACTGAATTTACATTGAAATGTCAGAATTTCTAAAAAGAACTAACATTCCAAAGTTAGAACGTGAAGTTAGAATCTTACTCCCTCTTAATCTTTTTCCTTGAATTTACTTAATGGATGTTCCTGACATGCAATGATTAGGTAAGCTTTGAAATAGCCAATAATGGGGAATTTGCTATTCCAACCTAAGCATAATGTTCTACTTAACATTTTAATTTGTGGAAAATATTACTTCAAGCCACCTACATAGTTGTTACTACAATTGACTTATTTAAAAGTGCTGTATTTGTGCACTCATTCAGCAAATATTTATTGAGCCAAGGAAGGCCTCCCAAAAACTGCAGGGTTGGAAAAGTTTTCCTGAAAGTTAATTTAGTTAAATTAAATTAAATTCTCTTTGGAAAGAACGTGAACAACAGTATGGAAGTTGGATATATTGGGGCATGTTCTGGAAACACCAAGCATTTTCATTTGTTTGCAGCATTTGCTACATAAAGGGAAATAATGGATGAAGAGTCTGGAAAGACAAGCATAGGTCCAATTGCTAAAGGTCTTTAATGCCAAGTAGAGAAGATTGGATTTCTTTCAATAGGTAAAAAGAAATCATCCAAGATTTTTGAGCACTAGAATGAGTGATACACTGAATTATGGACTTAAATTCTTGGCAGCATGAATATATTTAGATTAATGGACCATGAAAATATGACCATAGAAGGAAGGTTAAATCCCTACACATATGATGATAACGAGTTATAGAAAACCAGAATCAAAAACAACTTTTGAGATCATTTACATTGACCTCTAAGGTCTCCCATTACATCCCGGGCCATCTTCAGTCGTCCTCATGGATATCTGGCCACTGGAATCAGATGGTTCTGGAGGAGAAAGTGAGGCTGGTGATTTTGCACAGCCCTCCCTCACTCAAATCAAAGACAGTTGCAAGTCATGTCATCATCTCCCTAATGTCATGGTCCTCTTCAAGAATGTAGGACAAACCACAACCTCTGCCATACAATTTCCCTGACAAGATCTTGTATGCATGTCAGACTATGCCTACCTTTCATCTATTTCATTACTATAAATTCTTTTTTAATTAATTTTTTTTCAATTAACAAGCAGTTATTTCCTCTCTCCCACTTCCAACCCCTTAATTGAATGAAAAAAAAAAAGAAAGCAAAACATAACTTTTATAACAAATCCTCATAGTCAAGCAAAGAAAACTCGCTCACTGGCCTTGTACACAAAAGTATGTTTCGTTCTGCATCTCAAGTCCTATAGCTCTGTCAGGAGGTAGGTAGCAAGTTCCATCTCCGTTTCTCTAGAATTGTGGTTTGTCATCTTACTGATCAGTCAGTCCATAAGCATTTATTGAGATCTACTATGTGCTAGGTATTGTACTAAGTTCTAGGGATACAAAGCAAGGCAAAAGATAAGCCCCACCCTCAAGTTGCTCACAATCTAATGGGGGGAAAGAACACATAAAACTGTGAAAGGTGAAGAGTACAGGATGATGAAGGGATATGATGATAAAGTCCAGAGGAGCACAGCAGAAAGAGAAATTCTGTGGGTTCCTGAGGAGAAAGTGAGGCTGGTGACTTTGCCCAGCCCTGCCTCACTTAAACCCAATTCACTTGCATGTCATGGCATCACCTCCCTGATGTCATGGTCCTCTGAGAACAGCGGGCAAACAACAACAACCTTGTATTTAACTTTGTATGTACAGTGTGTCCAAAGGTCTTAGTGCAGTTTTGAGCTAGCAAAGCTTAATTGCGCTGACGTTTTGGACACTTGGTATGTATATTTATTCGCTTCGCATTTATGGGGTATATTGCAGTATTTTGTATATATTTATCTCCCCCATTAGAATATGCAGGTAGGTGGCACAGTGGCATGGTGAGCCTGGAGTCAGGAAGACTCATCTTCCTGAGTTCAAATCCAGCCTCAGATACTTATTAAATAGCTGTGTGGTCCTGGGCAAATCTCTTAACCCTGTTTGCCTCAGTTTTCTCATCTGTAAAATGAGCTGGAGAAGGAAACGGCAAACCATTCCAGGATCTTTGCCAAGAAAACCCCAAATAGGGTCATGAAGAGTTGGGCACAATTGAAATGACTGAATAACAAACATCAGGATATAAGCTCATTGTGAATAGGAATTTTTTCATTCTTGGTGCTTTATCCCCAGTACCTGGCAATGTGCCTGCCACATAGCAGGCACCAAATTGATTGGCACTTGTTAACTGATTGATTGCTATATCAGATTTTGAATCTGTTTCCTGAATTATTCAATTCTTTCTTCTGTTTAGGTAGTCTGCCAGATAACCCCAAACAATATTACTTCTGCCTCATCCTCCCCCCAAGCCACACCAAAATGCCCTCTACCACACTTCAGAGGCAATGTTTCATAGCAACTAGAGTGATAGATCAAGAGTAAGCATTTGTAGATTTAATCTTATCTTAGGCTTATTGTTGGCAGGACATAGGCAAATTACTTAACGTCTCAGAGACTCAATTTCCTTATCTATAAAAATGGGGACAAAAATGTTCATATTGGCTACTGTTCCCCACTGAAAAATAATAATGCTTTTTTGTCTTTCTTTTTATTTGTTAAAAGAGATGGCTAATTGTTAGAGATGGTGTGAAGAAAATGTCCTCTTGTGGCCTGGAGTGTGGAGCAGAGAAAAGAAGGCAGGAAATATTTGGAAAAGAAGAAGATGTAAGAACAAAATATATTTTTAAAGTTTTAAAGAGAAAATTTTTAAAAAGCCATTAAAAAATAAAAAAACAAACCATTCAGAAGTCTTCTTTTGTTGATCTATAAAACCATGTACGTGGTCATTTTGTTTTTATATTGAGGGGTTTTTTTCCTTTTTTTTTTTCACGTCATTCTAGCATTTCTTGTTGGGACAATTAACCAGAAAATAGGAACTGAATACTCTGATTGTAACCAGACAGAGGACATAACCAGACATAGTTATAAAAACATTCTTCCTTAATTTCCCCCTCTCAGTCATGAAGAACAAATGTCCAACAGGCACTGGTAACGTATGCAGAGGGGAAGATTTAGGATTCAATTTCATAGGCTTGTTATTGGCAATGTAATGTAATAAAAGAACGATGTCTTTAGAGTCAGAAGATATAGGTTCAAATCCTATTTTTGATTCTTTTTATCTAATTTTTTTTTCTTAGTGAGGCAATTGGGATTAAGTGACTTGCCCGGAGTTGCACAGCTACTGAGTTTTTATGTGTCTGAGGCCGGATTTGAACTCAGTCCTCCTGACTCCAGAGCCAGTGTTCTATCCACTGCACTGCTGAGCTGCCCCGATACTGTTTTTGACCTTGGATACATCACTGTAGTCCCTATAGGCCACAGCTTGCTCATCTGAAAATTAAAAGGTTGGATTTGTTGGTATCTAACGCTGGCTAGCTCTGGGTCTGTAATCTTATGACCCTAGAGTAGCAGATGAGTTCTCCGAGAGGGAAAGAGTGTAGAGTGAGAAAAGAAAAGACTTGGAAAACTTGTACTAATAACTAAAAATTACTAGAAAAATAAAGCTTCACATTATCTTGTTTACTTTAGAGTCTAATATAGGTAAAAGCAAAATTTCCAGGTCTGAATATGTAGGTTAGGTTGATAAAGGTGTTTCACTTTAAGTTTTGGTAATAAGATGTCCCCATATTCAAATTTTTAACACAATCAATTACCACTGATCAGAAATGTTTCAGTGAATGATTCTGGTAGTAAGGTCCTCTATAACATAAAGCTATTTTTGGCATTAGTCCCCTCCAGGGCTGACCCTAGGCCCAACCCCAATTTTTTTTTTAACTGAGGAGCCTCTGTCTACACAAACAACTTGATTTTAAAATACATTACAAAAAAAAAATATATATATATATATATATATATATATATTATAGTATTCATGGACCCATGTGAGGCATACTGATTTATTGAGGAAGAATGGGTAGAGAAGAGGTACTTCTGTATTTGTTGATTGTCTAATCAGGGTATGTAGAGATTCTTCAGATAGTCCAGGCATACTCTCTTCATCTTCTTTACTGTCATATGTGCAATTCCTAGCTAATTTCATATCTCTTATCATAATAAAAAGGCAGCAACACTATTATTGCTCACAATTCTTTTCATAAGAGGTATTCTGATTTAGAATATTGAACTGGGCAGAGCTGAAATGACTGTCTAAATTTAGATTATTATTGCAGTCCATTCAACAACTTGTATTACCATTCTGTACAGTGAGTGAATCAATGAGTTCAAAGAGTGAATCTTCCCTCAACAATAGTACTAGGAACACTAGTCATCAGATGTTTCGGGAAAAAGATTTATACCAAGAAGGCTCACCTTACCCCTACACTACTCATAGTCACTGAACATGCCACAAACCTCCACAACTTCATTTTCAAAAAGGGTTTTAACACCGTTCTATAGCACATCTCTGAAGTTAGAATATTTCAGGCAGCCTGCTATCACACCACAGTAACATACATTCCATAAGAAAATAAAAATGTTTGCCTTTTTACAACAGCATGTGTCAAAGAATAAAACATGCTGAATAAAAACTTTATCTTCAATCAAAACTCTGTTTCTGTGTGTTTCATGCAAGAAAAGGCCCTTCATAGAAGTTCCTGATAATAATAAAAATAAAATAGGTAATTTAAAAAGAAATAAAATAGGTGAGCTTAACAGATGAAATAAATAAAATTGATAAAATTGGTAATCTCATAAAATTGATAATTTTAAAGAGAATTTATGTTGTGCTTTACACTAAAGTTTAAGTTGTTATTTTTTTAGTAGCAATTTGTTGTGTTGACAGCACAAATAAAGAATGGAATATTGATACTGTCTTTACATTTCATAAAGTCCTGGTTTTTGAAGCCTCAGATACAATAACTCTCAAAATTAAAATATAAACATTAAAATATAAAATGCAATACTTTGTTTTAAATATGCAAAATATATTAAAATTATAATTTAAGAAAGTGATCTCAATTAGAACTTAAGTTTTGATTATTGACACAAACTTAAAACAGTATTTTCATACTAAAGATTGCACTACACTTTTTTTGCACTATTTTTACAATAAGGTTAATCACATGCAAAACACTAAAAGTACCAAATTAAAATATTCTGCTCTATACACAAACTTTTCAGCTTCTAATATAATATTTTATAGAATACAGAGGGTATTGTCCTACACAATATGATGAGCTAGCATACACGAATCCTTTGGTGGCAACCATCAATTCACTCCTCTTTTAGATGGGAGGATTTTAAAATTTAAGTATATTATAGTTACAGTAATAGGATCAATAATAATAATAGCTAACATTTACATGGTGCTTACTATGTTCCAGACACTGTACTAAGTGCTTTACAATTATTAACCCATTTGATCCTCACATCAGCCCTGGGAGGGAAGTATTATTATTATCCCCAATTTACAGTTGAAGAAACTGAGGGAAACAGAGAGTAAGTTCCTTAAGGTCACATAGCTAGCAAGTGTCTAAGGACAAATTTGAACTCAGGTCTTTCTGACTTCAGGTCCAGCCCTTTATCCACTGTACTACCTAGCTGCCTATATTATTACAGTATTTTTAAAAACAAAGAAATAGTAACTTATTTTGTGAATTATTAAGAATTTAGGTAAAGCAGCCAAGATTTTTAAGCAGCCAGTGTGGCACATATTAGAAATTCTAATAAGCAAATTTAAGACATCAAAAGCAATTAACTACATAGACAGTATCCTACTAACATCAATATTTTTTTAAATTAATGTTTCAAATTGTAAAGTAATATATTTTGTCCAAAAGCCTGAAATGTACAAGAGATGTCAAGAGAAAATCATTAAATTCAGCAATGATGTTTTGAAGCTTACTTCAGGCCAGAAAACCAGAACATTACTGTGAATATGGTTCACACTACAAATTTCCACTGTGACTGATTGCCAGCATAGCATCAGTGATCACACTGCATTTCTCTTATAATGTAGCATTGTTTAACAGTGGCTGAGGTTCTTTCCCACACATTATTGTTGTGCATGCTAATGTGCAGTTATGTTATTATTAAATTGATCATCCAAAACAATGCATGCAGTCAATACTCTAAGTTGTACTTTTGAGTGACTCACAACAGTTAACAATAAGTGTTCAATTTACAAGCCCTTGAACAATTCAGTGGAAATGTGGGGCAAAAGAATTTCCACTGGGGATCAGTTTGGGCAAATGCAGTACATTTTCTGGGACTCTTCAACAGACCAGGATCCAGGACTAACATAATAGTTATCTCTCCCTTCTAATCCAGGACAATTGACTAGCTTAAGTGTACTATCATTTCTACATTCTATACAATACATCCCATATAAATTAGGTAACATTTGCTTGGTTCTCCAGGTCATTCATAACTTTTTTATTCTGCATATGTTGTTTTTATATTAATAAATTTTTTGCCTATAATAAATATTGTCTTCTAAAGTCTAGGATTCCTCAAGGATTAGGACCCAGGGGAAGGGTCCTATTTGCCCAAATCTAAGGTTGGGATTGCTCCCTTTCATTAACATTGCCTTCCCACACTGCCTGGTGTACAAGTTGACTTTTTCATTGTTGGTCCATAAAGGAATTAGTCATAACAGTGCGGTCTCCTAACCAGGAAAGGCATAGGTTAGACCATGGGGAAGCTGGACACAGGCTAGACCAGGGGAAATTTAGAGAGGCTAGCATTACAAGCTACAAGCATTCGGGCCGAGTAAAATCATTTTATATGCAATTTTTTCATACGTTTTTAAATTTTGAAATTCCCTACTCACATTGGGGTTCCAGAAACTGGGGAAAAAAGAGAACCCAGAAGCTCAACTTAATGTGGAGACAACAAAAAGAACCCTTTACTAAAGTAAGTTCCCGATCATTCACCTTTCCTTTTAGCTACCAGGTTCAAACTGACCTTTCTCCATAGGACAGCTGAGGTCCATTGGGGACTCACTCCATACGGCACCACTTCCTTGAATCCAGAAACGTGTCTTAAAGGATTTAAGTTCTGGGAACTACAATCCGACATCATGGGAAGTATAGCCAAATGGGAAAATGAGGTTCCTATTAAATAAATAAAATGTTAAAAGTTGACTGGTAATAATATTATTGGGTAGATTTACAACCGGTTAAACAACTGCACAAAATCAATACTTATTAATGGATCTCTGTGTTAAAGTGGCCCAGTGGATAGAGAGTTGGGCAAGAAGTCAGGAAGACTTCTCTTCCTGAATTCAAATCCGGCCTCAGACGCTTACTAGCTGTGTGACCCTGGGTGAGTTACTTAACTCTGTTTGCCTCAGTTCCTCATCTGTAAAATGAGCTAGAGAAGGAAATGGCAAACCACTCCAGCACCTTTGCCAAGAAAGCCCCAAACGGAGTCCAAAGAGTCAGTATATGACTGAAAAATGACTGAATGACAAGTGTCAGTCAATAAATATTTATCAAGTGCCTATTATATACCAGGCACCAGGTTAAGTGCTGGGGATACAAAGAAAGGCAAAAGACATCCCTACTCTCAAGGAACTCACGGTTTAATGAGGGAGACAAAAGTACAAACAATTATGTGCAAAGAAGATTGAACTCTCCATGAATGTAGCCAGAAGGCACAATTTTCAAGTGGTGCTCAAGGCATACCAATTCCAAAGGCCTTGCTCCCAAGACAAATTATTAGTTTGCCTCATAAATACAAAGAAACC